TTTGCTGCTGGTGCTATGGTAGTGTGGGTAGAGAGAGGGGCAGCGAGATAGGGGTGATGGGCGCTAGTGGTGGTAACAGCTGTATCTTGGTGTGTAGAGGAGATTAGGGCTTTCAACATGTACTATAGCACCCCGTTTATTAAATAAATAAATAAATAGTAGCCCTAAAATCAATAATTACATAGCAAGGTGTTGGTCTCGAGGAGCTAACTGTCATAATTTTAGAAGGCGGGGTTAAAAGTGTATGTTTTGGATTGGTTTCGTAAATAATTATGAAGGCAGGGACTACTTGGTAAGTTATTGGGACTTCATTTGAAGAGATTTTGGAGGCTAAGTGGTTGTTTGGTAAATTAGGGATTGAATTTGAGAGGAATTATGGAAGCAGGGGTGTAAATGGTAAATATTGTACCTAAATTGTAATGGGTTTTAATGTTGAGGGCTGAAAGGGTAAATTATGGGTTAGTTTCGAAAACAATTCTGAAGGGAGGGACTATTTATGTCAGTATGGCAATAAGTTTGGAATGAAGACCGGGTATATGAACTCGTTACCATGCTAAAACCCTAACCCTAATAGATAGCAGCCGCCACTCCACCTTTATGCCTCCTGTTTCCTTCCAGCCGCCGCAGCCTCCTAGCCACCATTGAAGCCAGTCGCCGGAGTCCATCCTTTCTACGTCGGAAAGAGAGCACGACGGTCGGAGGATTAGTTGCTGTTGCGAACCACCGGAACTCAGCCGTCATTACCGTTACACCTCCACCGTTCTCCTTCTCCTTCTTTCGTTCACCACCCGTAGCCGCCGAGATGATTGTCGGTACCGTCCCAACTGCCTTCGCCTCCGCCTCCATTCCACAACGACTAGTCGCCGCCGCTGCCACCGTGTTGCTTCAAGCGACCAGCAAGGCTGTAAAACGCAAAGACCAACCACCGACTGCTTCCTTGCCCTTGAAGCGCCAACGTTACCCTAACTGTCGGTGATGTCGTGAGCGGACGGAAGAATCTCTATGGACGACGCCAAGCCGTTGAAGATGACGTCAAGCTGTGTGCCGCCATTCTCGGACGCACCTGCTCCGACTGCCTTATGCCGCCACGCGGAGGTTGTGTTGGTGTGTATTCTCTTGGGGTCCGACCTCTTGTTTGGAGTGTGTGTGTGTTTTTTCTGTAGGGCGGAAACTGAGGAGATAACCACCATGGCCGCCAGTCATGGTGGCTGCCACCATGGCCGCCAGTCATGGTGGCTGCCACCATGAACCACCACCGGCCACCACAAGATGGTTGTGTGTGTGTTTATCTAGTTAGTGTGTGTTTATTTTTTTTGGGTTAAGCATTGTAAAATGTAACTGGAAAGTAGAATAATGGAAAGAAACTCATAACCACCACCGGCCGCCGTGTTGGGTGGCGGTGTGCTTAGTTTGTGTTTGGATGGCTTTTAGGATGCTTGGACTCGATTGGACTAGAACCCTAACCACCACCGTGAGGTGGTGGCCGCCGCCGTGAGCCGCCATTGACCACCACTACCCGAGGTGGTAGTGGGTGGTGCCTGACTTATGAAACCCTAATGGGCCTAATGAAACCCTAATTGATCCAAAGACTTAGTTTTGGGCCTATTGGGCTATGATCGGGTTGGAAACCCTAATTAGGGTTTAGAAAGCCCTAATTTTGGAATTATGGGCCTTGGACTTATCGGGACCCACATTTGGGCCATTGGAATGGAATTGTGAATTACCCCCAATCACACCATATGATTTACCCAATAGATTGATGGACTTAATGGATTAAATCCTTAATGGGTTACGTGAGAAACATTTAACCCTAATTATCATTTTATGTGAAACCCTAGTTTCACTTGGGCTTTGAGTTGGGCCCTTCTATTGGACTTTGGTGATTGGGATATTGATGATCCATCCAAGAATAATCATATGGACTAGAATATTTAGATGGGCTTTAGGGTAAGGCCCATATGTGAGGTTCGGGCCCAATTTGGAAAATTGGGCCATAATTGGGCATTTATGATTATGAGATATTGGGCCATTAGAAATGCCAAATGTTTGAACTGGACTAAGTAGTTGGGCCTTAGAATAAAACCATGTAAAGGTTTGGGCCCAATTTGGAAAATTGGGCTATATGTTGGGCTTTGAGCCATAGTTGGACTTTTGGGCCTTTGGATTGGTCCTTGGGCTTGAATCAAGCCAAGTTAGGGGTAGAGTAGTACTTACCCCAAGTATGTACTTATGGTTATGTGTTGGAACCCAATTATTAATTGGGTGTTATTTTGATGATTGACAGTTCGAAAACCTGTCATCCAGCAGCTAGAGTTTTGTCTACGGGACTTCAATAGTGTGAGGTGAGTTACCTTCCAGTAGAAGTGGGTCTAAGGCCATAATGTTGGCCCAATAGTAGGAGTTGTTTGTTAAATGATTGTCTTTGTGATAATTATCTGGTATGTCACTATCTGTATGCTTTATATGTTAGTATGCTATGTTATTATGTGGTAGTGGTAGGGGGTGAAATAGTCCCCAGATACCGGTTGAAAGATACCGAAGGGGTAGGTCGGGCACCCAGATATGCCTAACAGTATATTCATGTATCTTATGCTATGTTATGATGTGGTAGTGGTACGGGGTGAAATAGTCTCCGTTATCCAGTTGAAACAGACCGAAGGGGAGGCCAGCACCCAGATATGCTAGGCAGTTATCCGGTTGAAAGAGACCGAAGGGGAGGCCAGCACCCAGATATGTTAGGCAATATGTGTATTGTATGGTATGTGGTATGATGGGGGAACTCACTAAGCTTCGTCCTTACGGTTTTCAGTTTTGGTTTCAGATATTTCATTCTCAAAGGAAAGGAGTCGGCTCAATCGCAGCGCATCACACTATGTTTTCCACACATGAAATCCTTGGGATTATACTCTGATATTGTTTTATTATAACATGTTTTGATTACTGACACTTTGGTTTTGACATGAGATGTTATTATGGATGTTTTCTTATACAGTTGGTTTTATAATAACTTAATTAAAATGAAATTTTTGGTCTGGAATTTTGGGATGCTACATGTACAAGGTAATACCGTAATACATTATACATTTAGGGGCACGTTCATTTAGATTGCAAGCTTAGTATGATTGTACATGATGTCCAAATAGTTATACCTCTTAAATTTCAAGAAATGTCTAATATGCTTTATATAGTAAAGATAGATAAGAGTACAAAAGATAATGATAATACCATATACTATTGATGATGTGGTCGGTACGGTCGGTCCATATGGTGGGACCTTCCTTTCCCCCGCCTATCTCCGTTCCTTCCATGCGCTATCTTTTTGGGTTATAGGGTACTAAAATGTCATCTCGATGGCATATGGGCAAACTAACACAAGTCTACTAACAAGAACTCATTTTAGATTACCCAAGAAACTAAATGGAATGCTACTAGGAGCACATCATGCAATTAAGCATAACAGTGAGCGGGATTTAGGGTCACAAATTGATAATTACACACAATGCGTGTGCGAAAGACACCTCATGAATCATGTGAATCAATTATCCAAATCATGCCTTGTTGCCTTATATACATCAAGAGACACATTAAAGTATCATGATCACTTTGTTAATCTTTCGATTCTCTTGTTTCCTCCTTCAATTGATTTTTTATTACACATACTTTCTGATTGGTTTTTGTTTTACAAGCGTATGATTAAAGCTTATGATTTTTTGTTTGTGTTCTTGACAAGCATCCGGCACGAATTTGATGTATTGTTTGATCAAAGTTTTTTATTTATGATTTTTTGTTTGTTTCTCATTCTCTGTTCTAATCAAAGATTCATGGAAAGTCTCAAACCTTCTAATTTTTATTTATAATTTTTTTTTGCATATCACTACAAAAATCCGAACTCCATTCTTTTAGGGCCTGAATTATTTTGGATTTATGATACTGTACAAGATTTTGATCAAAGCTTCTGATTTTCAATTTATGAGATTATACACGCATCAGGTGTGTATTTGAGGTATGGCTTGATTATTCAAAGCTTTTTTATTTGTGATTGTTTTTTTTTGTTTCACGCTCTCTATTATGATCAAAGACTCAAATAAAGTATCAAATTTCTATTTGGTTTTGGTTTTTGCTTTAAATCCATTTCAGAATCTATCTCCGTCTTCAAACTGCCAATTTTTGCCGATTGGCTGAAATGTTGCCAATTTTTGTCGATTTGTATTGTTTTGTATTTTTTTATTTTTTAGTTTTATGTTCCATTTTTTTTTTTGTTTTTTTTTTGTTACTTTTATTTATTTTGTTGCTGATTTTATTTTGCAATATTAAACTTATATATAAACCTAAAAATGATATATGGATAAGTTTTAAAAAGCATTGACTTCTAATTTAAATGAAGATGTCACTAACTTGAATGAAGAAAATACTATTTTAAACATGGTTCTGAAAGGCATGTTATGGCGTGTCCCAAGGCCTGTCATGACGTGAGGGTTGGTATAGCCGTCACGAAAACGTTCAATGCGGGTTTTTTTTTTATTTTTTGTTTTTGTTTTCCTAATCGGGCGTAAACCAATTGAGTTTTTGTTAAACTTTTTATATTAAATGATAATATATCACATCTAAAAACTTGATATATTTGATATAATTCTAGGATTTATATTTGTTAATGTATATAAAATTATCACCCCTTGAAAAACGTCATGACTCGTCAAAGTTCGTCATGACTTAGGCTTTACCATCAAGCTCACTCCTCATGTTATTTAAAACATTGATTTTAAATGAACATAATGTTAGTTTAAATAAACATGAAACTAATTCGAACGAAGAAAAATAATAATATATTAGATAAAATTGATGTAAATAGTATTATTAGTTATTTTTGTAAATGGTATGTTTGGTTTTTGAATTTTTATTATTTTATGAATTTGAAGGGTTTTTTTTTATTATTTTTGAGGCCCAATCAATATATGATTGAACCAGGCCTGTGAATAATGAAATACGACCGTTACAAAATCATCAGCACCTTTTTCCTTCCAACGCATTTCAAAATTTTAAGCCGTTGCACCAAATCCCATCAACAAAATCTCAACCCTCCACCATTCTTTCTTTCCATTCAATCTCACCTCCTCAAAGAAACCCTTCAAAATTTCTCTCTCAAATTTACAGTCCACAACTTCACTCTGCTCCAATGGCGCTTAGATCTCTCGATAATACAATGCCCTTAACCCCTGAACGCCCTAAAAAGTCTATTAAAGTTTCGAATTCCATTGCAAAACCTAACCCTAAACCTAAACAGCCTGTAGATCCGAATGTTAATGACGAAAACATAGCTCCTCTTGATCCCGTTGCCCCTGCTGTTGATTCTGTTGATTACGTCTCCTCTGAAGATCTAAAACCCCTTTCTGACCCCGATGTCAAGTTCCAGGTAAATATCTTTCCGTTTGAGTGATTACTTTGAAACCCGTTTCAGTTATATCTCATCTGAACATCTAAATTCCATTTCTGATCGTGATGTTAAGTTCCAGTTACACATGCGTCTTGGTTCCATGAAAACTAGATCTATATCAAGAACCCAGTTCGTGATTTTGTGTAATTTGATTCATTTTTTTTTTCTAATTGCTGTGAACTCAGGGCCTAATTGAAGGACTCGAGTCCAAGGATTGGCTGAAGATTTGTGATTCGTTAAATGATGTTAGGCGGATGGCATTGTTTCACTCCACTTTGTTGCTCCCGATCTTGTATGTAGAATCCAACAGTTTTTTTTTATGTATTAAACATCAGAAAATGATTTTGTCGAGTTTACTAATATGTGGGGTTTTTATATGAATACAGGGAAAAGGTTTTGTTGATTTTAGTGAAGGCAATGAAGAATCCAAGAAGCGCTTTGTGCAAAACTTCAATCATGGCTGCTTCTGATCTTTTCAAATCATATGGCGATAAGTTGCTTGAGTCCACAACCTGTGATGCTGTTGACCATATGGTATGAGTTAGATGATGGAAATGGAAGTCTTTTTTTTTTTTTTTTTTTTTTGCATTTAACTCCATTTTAAACCCTTTAAACTCCTTATTCACAGATGCTGCAGCTTCTGTTAAAAGCTTCACAGGATAAAAAGTTTGTGTGTGAAGAAGCAGAGAGAACACTGAAAACAATGGTGGCTTTTATAGCTCCAATCCCTCTCCTCCACAAGCTCAAAGGCTATGTCAGCCATGGAAACATGAGAGTCAGGGCAAAAGCTGCAGTTTCAATCTCTCATTGTGTCTCAAAGATGGTATGCGATAATAATTCAAAATCACTTTCTTTTAATTGGTTGTTTTGTAATTAATTAATTTGTTTTGTATTGTTTTAGGATGTTGGAGAGATGAGGGATTATGGGGTTGTGTTGTTGGTGCAAATGGCGGCTGAGTTGTTGAAAGACAGGCTTCCGGAAGCAAGAGAGGCGGCTAGAGGTGTGGTGGTGGTGATTCATAAGGTGGTTATGGAGGAGGAAGGGAGTGAAGAAGAAGAAGAAAAGGAAAAGGAAAAATGGCAAAACTTTTGCCAAGAGAATTTGTCTGCTATTGATGCATTGGCTATGGTTAAACTTGTTGCATCTCAATAGATTTTTTTTTTTTTTTTTTTGTATGTGTGGTTTTAATGTTTAGGAAGATCATGATGCTGATGAAATGGTCTTTTAGGGTTTGTTGTTTTTTTGTTCCTATCAAGTTTTGTGTGAATAAAATGATCTTTAGAAGCCTAAATTGATGGATCTTCTCTTTTGAGTTATTTTTGCATCAAGTAAAAAAGAGCTCTTATCCATGAAGTCAAAAAGAATTAATGTGGTAAGCCAAAAAAGATTGGTTTAATGGCACCAATTCTTTACCTATTTTATAACATTTGAATCGATGAATGTCATTAAAATTGATGAATATCATGAAATTTGTTTTTTAGTAAACAATGAAAAGATAAGTTGCCAATAAACCCCAAAAAATGTTATTAGAAGCTAACAATTTCATGGTTTTTGTATTTCCATAAAATGTCATATTTTAGTTTTAACTTTGTTATGAATTTGATCCAAATTTTCAAATATTGTCCAAACTTTTTTCTTAACAAATTTGTCCCAACTGTAGGCTGTTTTTTTTTTTCTGTACAAATTTATTTTTTGCAACTTTTTTTACAACCTTTTTAAACATTTAAAAGACTTTTTACAACTATGTTAAGAAAATTTATAATTTTTTTATAAATAAGTATAAAAAACTTTTTTTAAAGAGTTTTTTACCACTTTTTTTATTTTATTTTTTAATTTTTAAATTACAACATTTTTTACAACCTAAAAAACCATTAAAATAATGTTGTATGAACGTATAAAAAAGTTTAAAGAATTTCTAAAAAAAAAAAAGGTTTAGAAGAGGTTGTAAAAAATGTTGTATAAAATATGTAGATATATTATACTCTTTTTACAACATTTAGAAATAATTTTGTTTAAAAAATGTTATATGAAAGTATTAAAAAAAGTTTCAAGGAAATTGTAAAAAAAAGTTAGAACTTTTGTTTTTAAATAAGTATAAGAAAAGTTGTAAAAATTTATAAGAAGTTTAAAAGAAGTCTTATTAAAGGTTTAAGAAGGTGGTAAAATGTAAATAAAACTAATATTGAGGAGAATTTGTAAAAACAAAAAATAAAATAATAATAATAAAATAATAAAATAATAAAATAATTAGGCCACATTGGTAACAAAGTTTAAACTCAGGCCAAAAATTTAAGATTAAAACATGACCTCCTATATCATTATACATTGTATAGCATAGCTATATGGAAATACAAAATTCATGAGTTCATTATCTTTTGAAAAAATATTTTGAGTTTGTTGGCACGGCCAGACATAGAAATTCATACTAGGTGCTGCACATTTTTTCCGGTCACAAATATAATATAAAACATAAAAATAATTCATTACGTCTAATACAAAAAAGCGATCCATTATATAAAAAGTTAAAAACATAAGAACAATCTATTATAATTTAAATTTGTCATCTTCATTTAGACATCTTTTGAAAACGCTCCATTATTTTTTCAGTCTCAACTTTCACAAGTGCTTCGTTCTCAACATTGCAAAGCAACGCATCGTTCAAAAAGTCATCGCCAATTTTGTTGCGCAAGTCGGTCTTTAAGAGCTTTATCTTCGAAAAACATCTTTTGACACTTGCAGTTGCTACGGGTAAAATTAAAGCCAACTTTAAAAGCTTATAAACCAAAGGATAAGATCGATGTTTTCTTGTACTAACCATCAAACGAGAAAGGTCGGAAATTCCTTTCAAACTAGTGAAGCGCTCATCTCTTTGATGCAAGTGTGATAAAATATCTCAAGTTGTCCTTCAAGTTCTATCATATCTGAATCATCAAAGTCATACTTATACAACTTACCCAACTTCAACGACTTTGATTTGTCAAACTGTGCAAATGAATCACAAGGGCTCAAAGCACCCATGTATTCTAGTAACTGTGTGCTTCTTTCACTAAATCGATCTTGATATTCTGTAAGTTGCATATCCACCACTGTATTGAAGATTTCAACTTTAAAATGAAATCTATTAGTCTTTGAGGTCTTACGGTTTCTCGCACCAACATACAAATCTTCCATATCCAAAGTATCAATATTGTGTGTTTGACAAAAAGATGATACATTTAGCAAAATGCTATCAAACCTTGTGTTTCTTAAAGATTTCAATGCCTCCAGTGTCCCTCTAACCATCGAAGCCGCTTCTAAAATGTCTAGATCTTTTTTTTGAAGTTGCTTTGACAATGTACCCGTGAGGCATAAAATGTCATACATCATATATAAGTAAAACACCAAACTCATATGATTTAAAATATGATAAGATTCCAGATGCTTGTTGACGGTTTCCCAATGACCCTCCTTCCTCTTTCACAAAATCTAAAACTACAAGAACGTCTGCAAACAACTTCATCAAACTTGTGAGTGTGTTGAAATATGACCCAGATCTTGTATCTTCCATTCGATCAAGTGTAGTCTCTTGATTTAACCCTCTTCCGCTTTGAAGTTCACCAATACACAAACCTTTTTGCATCCTTTCTCTTGCTTGTTCTCGTAGTAAGTCTTTTCTTTTACACGAGGCACAAACAACATTAACTACCAACGAAATTTGCTCAAAAAAGTCACTAACACCATCATGTTTTTTTACTACAGCCACAACCACTAATTGAAGTTGGTGTGCAAAGCAATGCACATAAAAAAACTGTGTCATTCTCTTGTAATATCAAAGGTTTCAAACCATTGAATCCCCCTCGCATATTGCTAGCCCAGGACCGGCCCAATGCATGGGCGGCTTGGGCGGCAGCCCCAGGGCATCAATTTTTTTTGGGCATAATTCTAATCCCGGTTAGTGTGAGTATATGTTAAAAATTCATCTCGTTCTTTTAATTTTGTGGATCTCGTATCATAATTTCATAGGGGAGCTTGAGTTGAAGGCGGCAAGCAAAAAAAACTAGGAGGAATGGCGCGTATGGTAGAACTGAAGACGAGGAGACATGTCAATTCGTTCTTCACGCCCTTAACCAATCGACAATAGGAGATTCACTAGAGCGATGCGAATTCCGAGTTGTCTTTTGGCAGTATAAATCGCAAATCAACAGCTCTGATCTCCTCTCACAACAACTCTCACAATTTTGGTCTGTGCTCTACATTTTTTTTTTTTTTTTTTCTATAAATCTGGTTATATTTGTTCTTGTCTTCTCTCTACAAATCTGGTTAATGGAGGCAGTTTTCGATTGTTGTAAGTTATTTCTTTTTTAGTTATGTGAGCTCTATGGAGTGTAATAAATTTTTGTTATTTCTTTTAAATGGTTTTGCAATTTCCGATTCTGTTATTATTGTTATATTCAATTAGTAACTGATTATAATTAAATGTTTTTTTTTTTTTTTTGTAATTTAAATAGAGTGTAATCAATTTTTCTTTTTAGGAACTAAAACTTAAAGTTAAATTTATGTAAAAACATCCTTTATAATCAGTCAATTTCTTAGAGTCGGATTCTCCATGTTCGTGAAAGTTTTTTGGGTTTTTGACAGTTTTGCCCATAGGCTCTTTCAAGTCTACAACTATTTTGAAGGTCCACATGGTTTTTTTGGCATGATGCATTTGCTTTGTCTTACTGTTGTGTTGTTGTTACTGGGATTTTGACGCTTTTATCCCTGCATTTGAAATCATTTATTTTTAGTGTTATGTTGCTTCTGTGTAGCTTCCCTCCCTGGTTTGTAGTCTTGTTGGTAGTAGTCTTGTGTTTGTTCTCTTTTCCATCTTCCTGCAGGTGATTTTTATTCTAATGATTTGCTTGTCATTCAATTAGAATCCAACATAGTTAAATCTCTTTGTTTTGTTTAGTTATTTTGATTGTATGATTGTGTCATTCGAGGAGAATTATGTTATTACCCTCCAAATCATTGATTACTATTGATTTTTACCAAATATATCAATGAGATAGTTGAGATGTTGACTTTTGTTTCTTTTAGTACCATTTATTTTTACTCAATATATGGTTAGAAAGAGAACATCATACCTTATTTTTTGTTTATTCAGTTGTTTTAATGCATTCCTTTTGTAATTGGCAGGTTGTGTAAGAGAACATGAGAGAGATCCTATGGGGTATTAAGAAGTTCATAAATATACTTCAGAGATTTTACCATTTTGTTCCATATTTGGATGCCATAAGTAAGTGCCTATTGATTTATTCTGTAAATTATGCATATTTCTAGTCACATTGTTTATGATACAGGCCTGAAACCAATGAGCTTTTATGATAAGTAAAAACAGTCAAGTGTTTTTTTTATACATATATTGATTTTCCGTACTTCTTGCATACAATGGAGTTTTTGTTATGGGTAATTGATTTTTTGCTACAAAGACTATATATAGATATTGTTTATATAATGTTTGGAAGTTATAGTGTCTGTATATACGTGACTTTTTTAATAAAAAATTGGTTTCACCTTTCTTTTATAAGTATAGATGTATATGAGTTAAGTCTATTGTGCATTTTAAGGTATAAAAGAGGGGCATTATTAATCTTTTTGCCCAGGGCATTGAAAAACTATGGACCGGCCCTGGCTAACCCCATCATAACATTGTCCTCTTATCTATTATATATATATATATATATATATATATATATATATATAATATTACACATAAAGCGAATTAAATTAAATTCAAATAACAAAAAAATAAAGAATAAATTATCTGACTAAAACTCAACTTATTATTTGTAAGTACTTCACTTATGGCGTTTTTGAGTGTCGAAGAGGATGTATCATTCACGTGTACAACTCCAATGAATCTTTCCTTCACAAAGCCAAGACTATCCACATATCGCAAAATAATAGCCATTTGTTCTTTTTCGAAACATCATTAGATTCATCAACCAATAAAGCAAACACATCTTAACCAATCTCTTGGCGAATACTCAAAAGAACCTCTTGTGCAAAACATTGCACAAGTTCTTTTTGAGTTTTAGGGCAAATCATTTGATTGTTTTTAGGAGCCTTTTCCAAAGTATTGTTGAAAATATCTTCATTGTTCTCTCGAATGGTTTTTAACACTTCAATGTAAAGCTCTCTATTTTGCGAGTTAACCGACTCGTCATGACTATGAAAAGGAAAACCGGTTTTCAATAAAAGTCTACAAACACTAATAGAAACAAGTAATCGAGCTTTATATTTATGGTCCTCCGCTTCGGTTTGCCTCTTCAAGACTACACTAATAGCTTGTTTTTCTCTCATTAATAATTCACACTTTTCTTTTGCTTTGTTGTGAAAACTATCAACACTACCTACTCTTTGTTGCATGAGATCTCCGTTATCGTTAGATTCGTTAGATTCATTAGAGCATGTTTGTGGAATTGCATTAGAAACCGAAGGGATGGATTGATTGGTGATTGTTGTTTGGGAAGATTCTTCATCACTTTCATTAGAATTAAACCTTGGTCTTTTGATAAGAACTACGAATTTCACCAAATCGTCCAATAACTTCAATAAAAACATAGCAATTACACCAAATCAAACAATAACTTCAATAAAAACATAGTAATGTCGAATTCCTAAAATAATTGATAAAATTTCAAAGTATCAATCAAACTTACTTGCTTCATTCTAGGGCTTGGAGTAGATTTTCGAACCACAGAAGATGAGAAGGATTGAAGAAACAACCGATTGCAGCAACAATTGAAATTTTCGAACAGAAGAAGGAAGCCTCGAACAGGCAATTGCGACAGGAACAGTCGAACAGGAGGAGTCGGAGGTCACTGTTGTCGAGCTGAGTTCTTGTATTCCATTTTTCTTTTTTCTTTTTCTTGTGCTTCTAAAATCCGATGGGACCCAACACAACTACAAATGACCAATTAAGCCATTAGCCATTGGCGATTTTTTTTTACTACAGATAATAGTGGATTAAAATTTAGAATATTGAGCTTCTAATTCTAAGTTTTAATTATATTTTTGGGTTTGGTTGATCCAGAGTGTCATTTTTTTTTAGTAGTTGCATAATTTTTTTTTACTAAATGGTACTATAGGTAAAAAAATGAAAAAATTTCTACTGCATGCATGAAAAACAGGTGTTGTCACTGCAACCCCGGGCACCTAATAAAAACTTCTTTTGTTTGTTGGCAACTTGAATAAATTTCAATAGTATCTATTCGGTTGATTAAATCGGGTTTTGTTTATTCCATTTGGTTTAATAGGTTTTTTTTTAACAATTATAATTTAACTATAACCAACAAGAATCGGTTTCAGATTATTCAGTTTTAGCCTTTTAGGTTATTAAGTTAAAGTTCCATGTGTTTTATGCTAAATGATTTTCATTCACAAATTAAGAAACTAGATAGCAATTATTTACTTCTTAAATGTTTGTAAAAACTTTAGAATTAATAGTCTTAATAGGTTTGCAAAAACAGAATTATCACCAGAAAAACTTTAGAACCAAAGAGACATTTTTTTAGCTTACTAATTGCATCCAAGGGATACTATTACTATTTCTTAAATGTTTACCACTATGAGCTTTTTATGTCTAGATCTTTTGTACATAAGTTTCATGAAATAAAAAAATCAAACATGTTTTAGTTTTGAATAATAATAAAAAAAACAATATATATCTGAACTTCTTGACCCTACCTTCTTAAACAATTTAAACGTATTTAATTCAAATAAAACATTAGTTAGGCCTCAAAATAATTAATTTATAAAAACAAATTTTAAAATCATTAAACTAATGGTCTTATTCGGTTTGCTCTTCAAGGAAAAAAAAAGTATATTAAAACATTTTTTTTTCTAAAAGATAAGTGTTCTCTAATCTATTATTTATTATTAATCTAAAAAAAGTACGTACTTAGTACAACATGGGCTAAAGAGCCAAAAAAAAGATTACAAATTACAAATTTCAATAAACAAACTCTACCTAAATCTTGAAAAAAAAAAAAAAAAAAAAAAAAAAAAAAAAACAACAGAACATAAATAGCTCAATAAAGGCATTTCAATGAACAATCTTCCTAAATCTTAAAAACAGAATAAAAAATCAATCGGTTTGTTGTTGAATCAATGTGCGTAAAGCTGACTCAACATGTGTAAGTGGTTGACCAACATAGAGCTCAAGTTGACCTTTCTTCACCACAACTACTTTCATAATCTCTGATTTAACTGCCTCTTCAAGCTCCTGAAACAAATAGCAATCTACTTTTATCCATATTTTGAAAAATCATAACTCTACCAAAAATGTTATCTTAATAATAAACATTAAGTTTTTTTTTTTTAATCCACTTGATTATAGTAATTTCATCAAGATACATTGCAATTTTCATTGTTATAATCGGTAGATTTCTCAAAGTATAATATGCAAATGCGAAGAAAAAAAAAAGAAACTACAATGCTATAATTTGGTAGATTTTTATATTACAATGCTTTATAAGAAATAAAAATTTGGAAGTATAATGTTGTAATCTAGTTGTGTGACCCATGTATTATACGGGTTTATTTATAAAAAAAATTATATACGAAACTCTAAACATTTGAGAAGTTTGAATTTGTAAGGAAAGTGAGAAAAAAAATAATGAATTATTGAAATTGAAGTTGAAGTGCTTCTTTCTCTTTTAAATTTAAACAAATAGTTTAGATAAATAAACAAAGGAAATAATTTGGGTTTTAATTTAAGAATTTTTAAACTATAAAGAAAGTCTGCATTAATGAAATTGATATCCATTTGTTATTGCAATTATTACATTTAAATATTATGTGAAATTTAATAAAATGGAAAAAAACCCATAAAATGACATGTAGAAAAAACTTAATTTGAAATAACCACAAAATGACATGTGGCAAAATGAATGAGTGTGACATCTGACAAAAAAGATTTTTATTTATTAGAATAGATATTTGTAATAAGAAGGGTTAATCTGATAAAAAGCCTGATATTTTGTGTTTTTTCCAAATTAAACCTCAACTTTATCTTTTGCCTGAAAAAGACCTTGTATTTTTTCATTTTTCCAAAAAAACCCTCAACCTTCTAACTGCTTCCAAATAAACCCTCAACTTTTTTAGTTTTCTCAAAAAAAAACCTCACATTTACAATTTCTTTTTGGAAAAAAATGACGAAAAGGTCCGGATCGAAAAAAAATGAAAAAAATACAAGATTCTTTTGAGGAAAAAAACTAAAGTTGAGGTTTAATCCAGAAAAAACACAAAATATAAGTTCTTTTATGAGATTAACCCTTAAAAGAAATATTATAATGTTTCAAACTTGTGATAAGAAGAAAGGAAAGTAGGATATTAAAATATACAAATAAATAAAAGTACATTACTATATCTTGAAATTAGCCCTAAAAAAAAGTAGGATACTAATACTTACATTTGTTGGAATTGGTATGATATTAGTGGTGAAATCTTCTAAATCTTGAAAAAAAGATTCCAAAAGATAACAGAAATTTGTGGCATCACCTCGATCTTCAAAAGCAACAGTGTGAGATAATCCACCATTCTTACTTTTAAAATTACTCCTTAAAGTAAATAATCCTTCAGATTCTTCACTTTCACCCCCTCTTTGCATAAGAACAGCCTGATAAATGAAAAGTTGATAAGAAATAGCAATGTACTTTTATATATAATTGTACTTCATATTTCTTGCATTTGACTTTGACCCTTGTTAAAATATAAAAAGTCAACTATACATCAATATATAGTCATATGTAATAATTTTACATACCAAAACATAAGGGAGATTAGTCCACCAAAAGTCTCTCACAGATTTCTTGTTTCTACCCTTTTTGCCCTTTAAACTTCCATTACTATAAGAATCATCATGTTTGGAAGATAATGAAGTATTACTTTGACTTTCTTGACCAAAGCCTCGAGGTTTCCTTATCTCCTTTGAGGCACCTATGTATTAAACAAATGATTAAAAAAAAGTATAAAATTCATTTGTAAATAAATCGATTTTGAACATACCTTTTATTGATTCAGTCTTAGTTGCTCTTTGTTTTGATTTTTCACTTCCATTCACCAACTTATTTATAGGCTCTATAATGGGAATAGATTCATCTACTTGTTCTTGATCTTTATTAACAACATGAAGATCTTTAGTGTTATCAAATCCCTTTGGCTTTTCCCCAGAATCAATTGAGGGACTTTTATATTTATACTTCTTTTTGAACATCAATGGAGGTGAATCTTCTTTTATTGGAAACTTAGGGGGCAACTTTTCATAATTACCTTCTAAACTTTTTCTTAACTTCATTAATCGACTATCCACCTCTTTCTCCTTCAAAGATTTTATCAATCAAATCATGATCATGATCAATATCATCATCATCATCATCTTCTTCTTCCACTAAGCCTTTTCTCTTTGCTTCTACCCTTTCTTGTTGCCGAGCTTCCCTTGCCATTTCTTGAATTTCTACAATTCTGTTATCCATTTCAGATTTATCAACTAATAGTATTCCACCCTCTTTGGTTTCCATTAAATTCGGATTCTCTTTTGATTCTAAAGCCCTAGGTTTCTTGTACTCATCACTATTCAAGTTTCGATCTTCACCCTCTAAATCATTCCATCCAAATATCAACACGGCGCAGATCGTTTGAAAAACAAAAGCCCCAACTAAATACAATCCGATTTTAACAAATGACCTAGTTGAAAACTCACCCGCAATGCCATCGAGGAATCCAGTGGTTTGGGAGAGAGAAAGCTGGTCAGTTTCAGTATTCTGTTGCTGCACGGTTTCTTCTATGACAATTGGTGGGGTTTTGCGGGGAAATTCGGGATGAGAATTGTCCGGATAAGGCTTGTTTTCTAGGGTTTTGAGGATTTTCTTTCGGAGATGGTTAGTTCTTCTTCGTCTTGATGGAAACGACGAGGGGAGAGAAGAAAGTAATACGAGCGACTTTCCGGGGATTGGAGCTGCCGAGGTGGTCGGTGGGAGGGAGGAAGAAGTTATGGCAGCGGCGGCGGCCATGGTGGCACCGTGTGCACCCGCCATTGATTATTTGAATTTTTTTTGTTCCCCACGAATAAAAGGTTACTTGTAGTTTGAGTCTTGTTTTAGTTGTGGAACAAGTTTTACTATCATTTAAATGTTTTCATTGGCCACTTTTATAATGATTGTCTTTTATTGAATAATAATAATATTATATTATATTAAAAAAAAATTATAGAATAGTTATTTAGTATTTGAGCAATCGGTTAAGGTGGGAGTTTACTCTATTGATTCTTGAACCTAAGAAAGGAATTGTTCTTGATCTCTTTTAGACTACCCCAGTGGGGGGTTTTGTGAGCGCTTACGGTAGATTTAATAAAAAAAAAATGAATTAATTTGGTGAACTAGGCCGGCAAAAACAACCCACACAAAAGATTACTCTCATTTTACTTTAACGATTACACTCATTTTACTTTAACACGTGTTGATCAATGAAACCTTCCGCCATATTTTTTTTTGATAAGATTATGTATTTTAGGATAAAAATCATTATCTACTAAATCTAATATTATCTCAATCAAAAAAAAAATTTAAAAATACTAAAATTTCTATTTTTTTCTCTATAAATAGAGTATAATATTGATTTACTTCATATCTCATCTCAACTTTTCATTTCTAAACCCTTTTGATTTCTTTAATAAGATGAATCCAAATTTCATCTTAAATCTTGATGATTCTCAAGATTATCAAAACTTTCAAAGTTATGAAACCTCACAGTTTTTCGCGAATCCCAATCAATTTCTCATCACGGAAAATGTTCAAACCTTACAAAATACCGGAAAAAATCCAAAGGGGTGATAAATGGGATGCTGATGAAGATATCGCTTTAATGTCAGCATATTGTATCGTTAGTGAAGATGAGAGACGTGGAAAAAACCAAAAGAAAACATCAATATGGGCACGAGTGAAGGAGCTATATGATGCAAATCAGGCGGAAAACCCAGGAAAGCTTGGTAACAGGAACATAACTCAAATGAAAGGTCGTTATAAATGACTTATTGAAAGTGCCGGCAAATGGGTTGGTGTTTACCGAGAAGCATATAGAAAAAGAAAAAGTGGAATGAGTATGAAAGATGTTAAGAATGAAGCTCATAAATTGTATAAGACAAGTGGAAGCAAGTTCAATGACACAATTGTTTTTAATGAGGTTATGCGTAAACATCGAAAATGGGATTTACAGCTAGATCATGATGCAACACGATCACATCCTGAATATGAAGTGGGTGATGAAGAAAGTGGTGGTAGCACAAAAAGATCAAGGTCTACTGAAGAAGGGGAGTATTGTGTCCAATCCAACACAGAAGGGGCAAATATTGTTGGTTCAACAATTAAACGTCTGACGGGTAGAGATGTGGCTAAAAGAAAAGAAAAAAGTAAGTCTTCTAATGAAGTTGTTGCAGAACTTCGTGCAATGAAGCTTAGTAGAGATAGTGAAGTAGAAGTCATGAAAAAAGACTCGACTTTGATCAACAAAGGGAGCAAAAAACAGATGAAAGGGAGCTAGTGAAGATGCAAAGTTTGCATTTGAACACACTCCTACAAAAGGAGCACTTGTCATCTGAAGAAGAAAACATGAAACGTTTTCTAATGTCTAAATTTTATGGAAACTAATTGCAATTTAGTGTATGTTTTAATTTCAGTATGCTTTTAGTGTGTTTGTAAGATATTTTATTTTGTATTTGTATCTCATGCTTTTAATGTATTTGTAAGATATTTTATTATGTATTTGTATCTCATGCTTTTAATGTATTTGTAATATATTTTATTGAATGTAGAGTTGTCATTATCATCTTTACTTAATGCATAGTTGTCATTATCATCTTTCAGAGACACCAGTCATTTCCAGTATGCTTTTATTGAATACAAAGTTGTCATTATCATCTTTATTGAATGCAGAGTTGTCAGTATAATCTTATCATCTAGAAAATCCGTCATTATCTAATGTGTATAAGATTCTTTGATGTGTCGTCTTTTTATAGGATCCTTGGATTTTATCTAGATAAACTATTATAACATTATCTTTATTTAAAATTTGAAAAAAAACAAACAAAAATAAATATTCTTCCTATATTAATAGAGTATAACACTTACATATTTTCATATCCACCTCTAATTATTCATTTCACTCTTCATTTCTAATCTCTTTGAAAATGTCTCATAATGCAAACTCATCAGATGGTTCCAGTTCATCGAATGTGAACGAATATGATGAATGGGAAGCACGAGTTGTTCAACAGAATCGACAACTTGATGTTATCATGACTGAGTTACTCATAGGCATGCCAAACATGAGCGTAAGAGATCATCCTAGAGCAAGAAGGAGGTATTGTGATCGGGAACGTGAGTAGGGTGAGGCACATTTGATGAAAGACTACTTTGTTGACAACCCAACGTATGGTGAAGCAAAATTCCGTGGTAAATTTCGAATGCGAAAATCATTATTTCTCCGCATAGTGGAAGCTGTTACAGCAAATGACCGATATTTTCAACAAAGACGCAATGCCACATGCAGACAAGGTTTTTCACCAATACAGAAATGTACTGCAGCTATGTTACGTCTCGATTTTCAACTCAATTTTTTTTTCATTTTTAAATATATAAGAGAGTTTTAGCGGAAGTCTAAAAACATTATTAATTTCTTCGATGCGAGTACAGTCACGTTGGAGCCTTTCCATGGTTAGAAGAACAATCATGAAAAATAATTATTCAACAACTGTAAGCCGAGGCTTAGTGAGTTTCCCAGGATACCATATATCACAATACATATACATGCATACAAAAAATGGCTCACGACCTTTCGCCGATCCACCAATTGGCTCACGAACTTTCGTCGATCCGCCAATAATATGTGTATCTAGACTTACGGTCTACCTGCCATTTCGTCATCAACACACGGGTCCATAGGCTCCCGACCTATCTCCAGTCCACCGTCAACCCCTAACTTAACCGTAATAACTTAAATATAATAACATTTAAACACATAGAGATTACACTTTCAACACTATTCTACTAGTTCAAGTACAAATAACAATAAGCACATAGAGACTATACTTTCGGCTCTACTCAATAACTCATGTATAAAATCATAAAGCACATAAAGACTATATTTTTGCTTTACTAGCTTTCTATCCTAACATACATGGATATATATATTGTAATACACAGTATAGTGAGATAATTGTTACACCCCAAAACCGGAACGACGGAAACGTTCGGGGGCGGAGGACGTCATGTTTAGTATCACAAGTCATGCATCATAGTAAGCAAAGTAATAAACAACCATTTCATTAGAAAGAAAGTGTTTACAAAGTATGTGATTCACATAATATAGAATACGTAGCAAATAACAAAAAGACAGGAAGCTATACTGCTCCATCTTTTGAATCCCAGTGCGCGTACCTGTCTACTGGTCTCCTGAGAATACAAGTTATTTTGAAAGAGTAGATCAGCATTTAAGCTGGCGAGTTCATAAGATTTTAGTGATGTAATGTAAGTTGTAAGAAAGTTGTAGTAAGTTGTAAGTTTTGTTTAAAAAAAGTTCGCCTGTTCCTCCAGAAAATCCTATATTTCCTGCTTTGATGAAAGCTAAGTAAAAATGACTCTACAATCCTTTCTATGACTACTAAATCGATACAAGTTATATAAAACCCAGAGTAAACAAACAATCGGTTGTGTGTATTTGCCCTAAGCCCACAACCAAACAAGGAACAGGAAATGAGGCGGAAGGCACACATCCCGTTGTTTGTTAGATCATCGTTGTATATAACTCTGGTGTATTCACTTGGTACTCATGGAGTTAACTGTAATAGTTCCTTTATATTTTGATGAAAAGATCCTTTAAGAAAACCCTTATTTCCTTTAGTAAAAATGGTAACAACAATAGTTCCTTCTATAATCACTTAGTTCATACTAGCTATATATAATCTAATATCGAACAGATAGTTAATTGTGTGAATTTGCCCTAAGCCCACAACCAAACAAGGAACAGGAAGTAAGGCGGAAAGCACACATCCAACTACCTATCGGATATTAATTATATATAACACTGATATATAAACTAAGGTATTATGGAATTAACCACTTAAGGTCCTTTAAGTTATACTGGTTTAATAAAATGGATTAAACCTTTACTGGTATGTTTCTAGTTTTGACTACCAAATGTTCTATTTGAAAAGTATGTTTTGTACTAGAAAACAGTGCATTGAATTAGTGTCCTATGACCTGACCCATACATGGTACTCCTTATGATTACTTGGTGTATACAGAATATATACATAGGTAAGATCGGATAGATGGTAGGTTGGGTGAATCTGCTCTAAGCCCACAACTAAACAAGGAACAGGAAATGAAGCGGAAAGCACACATCCTACTACCTGTCGGATCCGGTTAATATATATCCCTGATGTATAGACTAAGGAATCATAAAGTTAGCATTATAGGTCCCTTTGTACTGAATGTACTAGACCCGACTGTTCTGTTTGTCGCTTGAAAAGATGTAAGTTTCCCTAGTTTTAACTATCTTAACTCGAAAATAGTTTGTATTAACTTTCTAGTGGAACTGTCACAATATGAAAGTAATGGGAAAATGAAAGTATGCAGTTGTCTTTTGAATTGACATACTGAAGTACTTGTTCATGTTACTAGTATGCTATGATTTTTGTATATATTTATGTGATTTATTTATTAATGTCCGGTAATTTGTAGATGTACCCCTTTATAAATAAATCCGGTACTTTGTAAGTGTACCCCATATATAACTCCGGTACTTTGTAGATGTACCCCATATATATATATATATATATATCTAATATATATATATATATATATATATATAAATCATGGCATATTGTAGATGCACCATATATATATATATATCCATTATACTACTTTTATTATCACCTTTTGTTTAGAACAATGAGTTAGTGATACGTTCCCTTCCTAAGTTAATGGGAATCATTAGTATAATTATGTTAATCATGATTTGTTCTTCTGTTATAGTATCTTAGTATGTTCTCTTTGTATAGTGTATAGTATGTCTCTATGATGTATTGTATCTACCTCCCTGTTTCTCTTTATAGTGTGATCTCTATGTTATCGTGTATTGTTTCTACCTCCCTGTTTCTCTTTATTGTATGCTCTAGTATCTAGTATGAATTGAACCTCTAAACTATACCCCTTATAGTTTACTAGTGTTTTACTTGAACTGTTACTGAAAAGACTCATTTTTCTACTAAGTTATGATTGTACTTTAAAAACGGAGTTTTATAAACTATAAAGTAACATAACTTAAAAGAGTTTTTGAAATGTTTTGATCACTTATAAAAGACATAAGCAACCTTTTGAAAGATGTTTATAAGAAACATTTAAACAATTATCATTGTGTTCAACTTGTATTCTCCCCTTTAAAAGCATTTAAAACAGTTTATGACCTACCAAAATATAATAGATATTATTTTATGACCTACCAAAATACAATACTCGCTAACTAACGTTTTAAAATAAATATAGTCAATTATTATCGGAAATATGGGTGTTACAACTCTCCTCCACTTATATTGATTTCGTCCTCGAAATCGAACTCCTAATGCACTTTAAGAAAATTCCTACATGTCATCTTATTGGGGTTCTTGAGGTCAATTCAGGATCTAGCCAACATCTCCTCATCAATTATGATCCTTTATGATAATTAGGTCGTATAATTTCGTTCTCTCCCTTAGATGTACACTCGAACTCCCCGCGAAGCTTTCAAAAACTAGGAACTCAATGATCTAGACCTCCCAAATTTATACCCTACGACTAATGATCGCCTTCTGACTTAAAATGTCGATTTGTTCCTCTAACTAGGATCACTGCCGACTCGTTAAGAGATGAATAACAAGGGAAATTTATTTATGACACTCCAACAGAACACTACCGAATTATTAAATTTCAGGTGTTGTAACAACCTGGAATTTAACCAAAGCTACTATAACGGATTTACTGGTTCGAAACTTTGGAATCAATACTCTAATATTTTTAACAGACTCATCATAAGGCTTCCAACCTACTAGATTATAATGAACACTAGGTCACCAATATCCTTCTTGCAAGGCTCTAACTACTCTACCTACATTGGAAAATAATTGACATTCAAGCGATCTCACACACATGCGTTCAGGATAGGTGTGACAACCCGAAGTTTCTATCTTGTAAAAGTCAAACTTGGTCAACAAAAGTTAAACCTTGGTGGTCTGTAGACTCACAACCGCTACCTCACTATTCTAGAAGAACCTATTCATCATACCTTTTTATGTCTATAAATCACAAAATGTCCTCTACTTGGCCTCTTGAGGCTACAACCGATTCGAGACACTTAACTTATGCAACACAGATGCTAAAGTCTTATTTTTGACCTATATTAACTTACACATTTTATAGATTCGATTATAGTTTTATAATATCTTACTCATTTATCAATAAAAGGAATAACTAAACCAAACACGCAGTATACCCTGAAGTCTAAAA